CTCCCTCGGTCAGTCTCAACATGTGTGGGCCACCTTTTTTGTGAGGGAACCGAGAGAAAAGTGGCACAAGCGGAACCGTTCCACGCTTTCAGGCCTGGGCTCTGACACCAAGAGAAACTCCCATAGCGCCCAACAGTCTTCAACTTTTTATTGAGATGGTTTTATCAAGTCTGTTGTGTAAATCCCGAAAAAAACAACTTACGACTCATGACCCCCCCAAACAAAAACAAACAGGCACATAGAGCCATTCAAACCAACAGGTGTGCCTTTTTGGGCGGCTGACGCGCCTCCTCCTGGGCTTTCCGGAACTCCTCCTCCCGCTTTCGCTCCTCAAGCTCCTGATCTGGACTGGGGGGAGGGGGGGGCGCGGGTGGCGGTGTGGTCATTCTTGTTTTTTTCTCGGCTCTGGGGTGGTTCTTGTTTTCTCTTGTTTCTTTTTTTTTCCGTTTCTTTTATTATTTTTTTTTATTTTTTTGTTTTCTCGGGTCTTCATTTTGTTTGGCGGGTTTGATGGGTGTTGCAGTCCCCACCAAAAATTATGAGAGTATGACACCCTGGGTTTCAGTCGTGGAGAATCGTAATGGTGGGTTTTGGTTGCACCAACGGTTTCCAGAGGATGGTCGTCTTCCAAACCCATGACTGTTTATGTGATTGTTCAAGATTACTGCCCCGCAGATTGACAGAAGGAACCCCAAGCAACCATTGGCAGAGATCAAGTTTCTTTTGTCCAAGATATGAGCACACATGTTGGCAAGACACTGGCCTTTGTTTGAGAAATTGTCTGCCGCTTGTAGCCCGCTGAATGTCGGCACTCCCTGGATGCTGGAACGTGATCCCGGCATATGCGTATCCAAACTTGGTTGGCATGGGCACGGCGCTGGCAAATGGAGGATCACTCAGTTGTTCAGTGACCCTGGAAAAAAAGGGAACCTGGGGCAGCCACCAAAAAAAAAGGGAAGAAGGGGGCCACTGCAAAACTCAGATCACTATCTGGCACGTGGAGTTAATCTCATTTGAGTCATAATCAAAACCCGGTATCAAAATGGTCCACCCAGAACCACGCAATAGAATAGAGAATGCTGCCGCAACTATTTATGGTTGGGATCGTGGCTCACTACCGTTCATCCACCCGGGTTTTGATCGTGGCTCATTTGCCGGCGCAGGATGTCTCCAGTCATGACTCCGACCGTGAAAAATAGCGACCTGATGAAAGAAAGCGTTCACCTAATTTCATACTATTGTTCTCTGCGGCTTTCAAGATTGATCTGCAGAAATTGCCATCACTTACCAAAGATTGCATAAGCACAAGTTGCATCTGTGCTAACACGAAAAACACGTATCTACGATATGCTTTGCATAAATTGCCATTCACGAACTACATGGAAAGCCCTAGCGCTGGAAAGCTACGCATAGGCTGGGAACTAATAGACTCAGTGGAAGAACCTGGGCCCTGTTTGGCTCGCGGCAAGTTACTCCAAGATTGATTCGCATCAATTCGTAGAATTTACCAATCACGAGTTAGACAGACTCCTCCGGATCCGCCGTCCCTTGAATGGCCTTTCCATAATCCCTTAAATGAGTAGCACATACTCGCTGTTCAACAGAGGCTTTCGCTCATCCATGAAACCGAAGCCACTGGTGGCTTGTGGCGTACCATGGAAAGGCCTGGCTAGAAAGAGGCACTTTGCATCTACTTGATTTACATATCAAGAATCCAACTCGAGCAGCCGCGCTGAGTGAACATTGGCAACACCACAAACTTACAAGGCCAACAAGTAGTTCTCCTGCCTCCATGCCAGGCGTGGGAGTTGCAGGTTGGGCAACTTTTGTTTGTTGACCACCCAAGCACATACCAATTGGAAAAAATGCAGCATCACGTGTCAAAATTTGATAACCCCCCATGGGGGGGATTTTCTTTGGTTCCCTTTAAACCCACAAAGGGATCCACCATTTTGAGAACGCAGCAACGTCGCCTCCTTCTTCTCAGCATCGATCATGTCGCACATGGCCTTCACCTTCAAATCTCCGGGCACGGGGGCACGTGTTGAAAGCTCGAGACGCTTGTGAATGTGACGCGGTCAAAAGCCCTTCTTTTGTCTGTGGCCATGGATACATGATAGAAAAGGAATCCTCATGCTGATGGTCAGAACCCTTGTAGTGGTTGCTATTAGCATACAGTTGTGCATCATGTTGATTGCTTAACCAAGTACGTACCCCCCCATCAACAACAAAAAACAATAACGAGCTTGTGCAGACAAGTTTGCTCTCACAAAAGGAGTTCGCGAGGAACAAATGAAAGTTGGTTTGCCTCCATGCTCCCTGGGATCTTTTGCATCACACGTCTTGGATGAGCATCCCAGGAAGGAAAACACTTTCACGGACGCTCGTTTTCGACTACAATTTTAATCTTGAGGGTAAGGCCGCTTGTGTACTAAACGCCCCAGCTGACATGCTGCGTCACCTGCTAAATTGGGGTAACATCCACGAATGACGCCTCCCCCTACTTTCGGAATGTTGAAACATCTCAACATAACTCCGACAAGTCTCCCAAACTTGTCGGAATGTCCAAAGATCACATAAAATAACTTTGATATGGTTGGTTTCATGTTGCCCCAAGGCCAGCCCTCAGCTTCCGAAATCCAGCAGCACCGATTGATTCGGCCTTCGGCTTCCCTGCTTCCGTGCGTCCGTTCTCCCGCCTGGCCCCGCACGGTTTCCAGCTGCTGAACGGCCGTGGCGGGACCCCTGAGAAGCTCAGGGGCGAAGGAGAGGAGGTCGCTGGGGATTTGGTACTGGATGAAGAGCTGCATCAGATCCTGAAACCAAAACCCTTGGCCGCAGGGCCCACTTTCTTGGTAGATTGACTCAAACATCAAAAAACAAAATGACACATTCAAGAAGTCGGAAACCCCAACCCTGGGCCCTCATACCCACTTTCTTCATGGTAGATTGACTGAAACATCCAAAAATAAAACGACACATGACATGTGTTCAGACAACACGCTGGCACAGAAATGGGTCAATCAGGTGAGTGGAGAAATGGAAACCTGTCTGTGGGGAAAAAGTCCATTCGAAACCAGAAGGAAGCCATTCGCACTTTTAGGGGGTCCCCAATTTGGAGCTGACTCAAAAGAACAAGCCCTTGCCTGAGAAATGGGCTACTCCAAATACACACTTTTGCAGGGTAGATCTTGAAACACCAGGTTTTCCGTGGTAAATATATCCTTTCTTGGTTGAGGGTTGACATGACCTTAAACAATGTAGGTATTTGGTGCAGGGGGGGCTTTTCCGAGGGTACCAGATATTGTTGTCCTTAAAACCGAAATCTAAGGGACAAGGGGTGGATCCGGCGACTCGCAAGACATGAACGGAAACGAAATGCCCTCATGGTTTAGGTCGCAAACAAAAAACCCTTGAGAAGTTCAGCAATGGCGATGTGCAAGCAGAGAAACCTACCAAGACATGGGTCTTGTGTGTTTCATCTCCAGGTACCAATTGTTGGGAGTCTTTATGTCAAAACCACATATATTGCGGGAATGTCCGTTTGGAAACAAAGTCAATCGTCCGAAAAGCGTGTCCGGGATATGTGAAGGGGCTTTTGTCCTTGCAATCCACCAAGCCCTTTGTACACCGATCGCAACACGTGCAGCACCTTCCAACCATGGCCATGATTGTCTTGCGGTTCCTGCCCGCGCCTGGGTGAGCTTGATCTCTTTGGTAAGGCTGTCCTGGGGCAAGATGGCGGACACCGACGACTTGATCTTTCTTAATTAATAAAAGAAGCGCGGGCTCACCACTGGGTCATGCATCCAAATAAAAAGTTCCTTCAAGCGCGAAAAAAATATGCGAGTGATTCACTTGTGCCAATCAAATCTCTACCTTACCTGTCGGGACGATGAGACTCCAATTTTGGCTGCTACCTGTTCAGTCCATCACTTCTTTAGAGCCAATGTGGAGAATGATTCATGGCAACGGAATAACCCTGCAAGAAAAGATAGCAATGCATGGATCATTGCTTCATAAATATACCAGCCTGGCAGCGGAATAACTCTGAATGGATGACTGGCTCAGCAGCGTAAGGCAAACAAAGCCGTGTCATTCATCGTTTGCCAGGATCACTCACAAATCTGGACAAGCGCTGCACAACAAAACAACATTCACTCAACGTGGGTCCATGCACTTACGTAATATCACAATGTGGGTTTGCCTCTCAATAGGGGCACACCCTATTGGTTCGGTATAAACCAAGCCCAAGGGTACCAAATCCAAAAACGACACCTCATATCACAGCGCAATACAGCATGAACAAAGCACACGCACAAACACACAAAACACACCCGCGCACCCGCAGACGCGGGCTTACACACACTGAAAACACACACCACATGCAGCCATAAACAGGATTTGCAAGCGAGATGGATCCACAAATCCCCCATTTCAAGGGATATCAAGGGACAATCAAAGGATTCTGCGTTCAGTTCCGCTCTCTTCTCCGTCTCGTTTTTACTCAACACGCAACAAGCGTTGGAAGGGACGCATGATAGACGGATCATTACTGTGGAGAGACGAAATTCGTTCGCACCACCTAAGAAACCCTGGAATGATTCGATTCCCCGAAGTAAATACCCACCAACGTTGAGTTTTGTCGCAACCATCCACAGTAGGACAGCTGCGTTCCAACCCGAAAACAAAGGAACGGTCTTCATACCGCTTCCTCAAGGGGCGCAGGCCCATTACCTGCGGGGATCACGGAAAACCAAAAGGAACGCGAGATGGATCACGAAAAGAGGTTCCACCACAAGGAGATCTCTCATGCATAGGGCCTAAACAACTAGACTTGGGGTGTGGGGTTGAACCAATGATTCTGCGCTTTGAATGATGCAATTCTGTAGCCGCTAACATCTGGCATAGGGTAGTTGAGCGAAAGGTTCCGAAACCACCCCTCCAATCAAACGTTAAACAGAGGAAGCAACTCAGCAACTCAAAGGTGTGGCACGTTTCGCCCGAAACAAAAATCAGCCGACATGGCCCCGATTCATCCAGGTCTCAGGTATGGGCTGGGGATGCGGCCGCCGGAAAAGCAAAAGAACTGATCGGCCCCTCGACCTTTTTGGGTGATCGAATCGGAATCATTTCCTGGGCTAGGGCGTTCTTTGAGATCTGCGAAAAGAGTGTACTTGTAACTTGTGGGTCAAAGGGAAACTAGCACTAAACCAACTCAAAGCCTAAAAACAAAACGGAAAACGGGGAACCGCCAAGCTAAAAGTTGGTATTGCCTTTCGCTCCCTTTTTCCCGCCTGCCCCTGAAGTTTTGGGGTACCCCAAAGGAACACAGCCCACGAAACTTTCTCCTCCGGGAGATTCAGCAGCCGCTCCAGTTGCGGCTTGATTTGCACCTTAGCCAAAAACGCGGGATTCGAGCGGAATTCGTGGGGTGGGTTTTGAGCCAGTGCACGCCCACAAGGCGGTGTTCACAATAGCCTCCAAAATTGGACCCTGGGCGGCAACAGGGAACCAGGGGAACAACAAGTTCCAATGCCAGGTTGGATTTGGTTGCCCCCTTTCGAATGTATCCTCCCAACTACCTTCCATTTGCGTTCTTGCCCCCTGGAAAAAATGAGAAAATATGTCCAGAAGTGAAATCACTGTAAAACCAACCGGAGCAAATGAAAAACAAATAAACATCCGCAAATGGAAGCTAAACCGAAACCCGGCGTGGACTGGGCGGAAAGGCGGCGGGACGTTCGAAATCTAACAAGCCCGGTGGTTCGGAGGTTCGGAGTTGCAACCATTTACCCTCGCTACAAAAACCCAGGGCTTCAAATCCAAATCCAAAGCAATCGTCGGGCAATCGGGAACACCCACACACACAGCTCAAGTGAATGAACTCCTTTGGAGTGCGGGCGCCACGACGATGCCGAAGAGGGTGCTCTCCAATTGCATGGACCGAAACGCCTTGGCGAAGCGCTGCTGCTCCGGCGACAGGGACACGATGGCGTCCTTGAACTCCTGACTTGGCATTTGGTAGGTCTTTGTGTTGTTCACATAAGGTCAGTCACAATCAAAACCCGGTATTAAAATGGTTGACCCAGAACCATGTAAAGAATTAAGAAGGCGGCCGCAGCTATTTGTGGTTGGGATTGTCCCTGACTAACCTTCATCTAACCGGGGTTTGATTGTGGCTCAGGTGTCCCTTCAAGGGGAAAAAACAAAAAAACAGATGGCCCTGGCAAATGGAATGAAACCCATCTAAACCGGGGGCTGCGTTTTTCAGATTCCTGGGGGTTGCATTTTTCAGATTTTTTGGGGCCTCTGATTGGACTCATTCCTCACTTAATTCTTCTTAGTTTTAGTACATACATTAAATGGAATTCGTAACAAATAACTGAGAGGCCCCAGAATTGTTAAATACACGTTGTTTGAATGCCTACTGATTTGCAAAGCCGATTCTATTGGAAATGAACTCCGTTTCAGCATGTGTATTGAAACAGAATAGTCATTAGTTAAATTTGATTTCAGAATTTAACAAAATGGTTTGATTCTGTCCCTTTTTAATGCAATTTCATGTGAGACACAAATTAGGTAGAACTTGATAAATTTGAGTTGTACCCTCAGATTGGAGTAAAGAAAACCACGTGGACAGCCACCATATTGAACTCCTTCGCATTTGGTCGTAAGTTGTTCAACGGCTTCGTTCTTTTGAGAGTACCCCTAAGTGGGTTTAAAGGTAAACAAGCAGGACAACCACCATTTTGGGATTCCCCCGGCTTTGACTACACAATCGTAGCCCAAATTAACGAGGGCCTGGGCTTGCTTGGCATTGCCAAAGAAAAGCGCCCAACTCCATCGGGTACAACATCCTTCCATTGCCACTGCGTGTCTCGGCTGAATCTATTGAATCTTCCCCTTCCGCTCAGGAGCCCTCAAGAACCATCCTTCAAAAACCATGGGAAATCCCTGGAAATCCCCAGACACCACGAACAAAACCTAGGACCCCCCCCCCCCGCCCAGGACGCGAGCCCGACGAGCCCGATAGCTCCTTGGGGGTGGGGATCGTCGCAAGCTCCAGCGGGATCTGCAGCTCATCCTAGCCGCCCAACATAAAACTGGGTCCCTTTGCTTTTGGGGGTGGGCACCCCCATGCAAACACCATCTTACAGGGTCCTTTGGGCTAGTTGTTTGAGGGAAGCGCTTGTTGGTGTTCAATGGATTTCAACCGGCAAACCAACATTCGCTGGTTTTTTTTTGAGGGGGGCGAGGTCGCCAAGACAAGGCCTGCCCATTTTGAGGGTGGCACAGGCCGCTTTATGCCAGGCGCCTTGTTCCGCAGCAGCACCGCGTGCTTGGCCTCGAAGCTGGTGGCAGAGGTCACGCGGCCCAGCAGAACGATGAAGGAGCTGAACCTCGACGCTTGAAGGACGCCACGTGCAGCGGAGTACTGGCAACCCCAGATTTTAGTTTAGGGGGTGTCCCTGGTTGGGATTCAGACGATTTTTGTAAACTGGGGTTTGATAAAATCCGGGGTCAACCGTACTGTCTTCAGTTGGGGGTTGCTCCATATTCCCTTAAAGCCCCCCAAACGACCATGGTCATCGCTCCAACAAATTGGTTTCTTATGTGGTTCCCTGGAGCTGGCCGGTGACCTTGCTGGACTTTGTGGGGTGTAGACATTGGGATATACCGACGTTGCAACTCACATTAAGCAGTGGGAATTGATCAAGTATCGATGCTCAACGCAACATCTGATCTTTCTGTGCGGCAGTCCAACGGTCAACCAGGTTGATCAGTGTAGGACTCTGAATTGCCCAAGATGAGTGCTCTGCGCCTTTACTCCCACACCATGATCATGGTAACCCATGGTTTATTACGCAAAGGGCTCAGGGCGCACTTGATACAAAAGAAAAAGAAGGTCCCCTCCATCCACTCGAAAAAGGGGTGTACGACTCTTTTTGCGGTTGCTCCCCTCCCCCGTTCTCTTGCAAAACATGCCGAAGCCGCGCGTACTCCAAAGTGCCATGTTCATTTTCTGATGTACGCGAGCAAGAAATGTCCTCTGTATTCCCAGCATTTCTGACAGCTCATGCTGCACATCCAGGGAGTAATGGAGAGAGGATTCGGCCCAAGAAACCTGACGACTGGGTCTCCTTTAAATCGAACAGGTCGACTTGTCCAAAATATCTGAACATTGAAGACAGTATGACTCAAATGGACCAACACACCCAATGAGTACATCTGGAGCCATGACCTTGAACCAATCACTGGGAGCCCAAAAGTGATAACACGACCAATGTTTCTTGAATACCAGGGACCTACCATAACATGGTTGCTTCATGGTTTCTTCCTTGCGCAACTAGTGAAAGGGGTCGGCTGCTTTACTGCACGGGGGGGGGTCCACCGGTCCACCCAGCGATTTTGCAGAGGCCACTGGATTTCCCTTTGAACAGCTGCAACCTGATGGGTTCCACTGAAACTGCCATGCAGGTCCCAAAAATGAAACTGGGGGATACCCCCCCCCCCCGCCCTTTCCTCAAGGGGCTGACGTGCCCGCGCCACCAACGACAGATTGCTCCCAGTGTCGCTGGAGAACTTGTGGCCCAGGTAGGCGTGCAGCTGAACCTGAACTTCGACTCCATGCAGCTTAGTCTTCTGCAGAAACAATATTGTTGATCTCACTGGCTGAGTGGATGGCCCAAAAAAAGTTCAAACTTTGTATTTACTTCAAAATGGTCTTCCCAAAAAGTTTAAAGTCCATGAACTCAGGAAGTGAGTTGATAGACAGAAACTATCTATTTGCAGCAAGGCACGCACAGCACTTATTCTTGAGCCAGGGTGTCAAAATATGCGGGTATGACTGTACATCATGAATGGCTAGTACTCAACAACAAACATTTCGCCTTACCCCCGATTGGTTTGTTTGGTGGTTTGGACGTTGGGGGCCAAACCACCAATCCAAACGGGGTATTTGACGAAAGGCGTCTCGGTTGGCTGGCGACATACTTTGTAACACCCAGCAAAACAACCTGATCAATCTCATGGCTTGTCGTTGGCAAAGGGGTGATCAAGGTTTACCTTTGGAAGTCACACTCTCAAAAGCTGTTTGTGTGCATGATAAAATGTGATATGAATCTTCATATAGTTTCAAGTTGGGTCTGCGACTAGAACAAAGGAAGCCCAAAGGGATGAATGGATGGGGGATGTCGCTTGGGCGAGCAAGCTTCTCCTGTCTTTCACCCCCATCCAGAACCTGCGGTGGACTTCCACGAGTAATATGGGCACCCGTTGTTGGGCAGGTTGGGATTGAAGGGAAACCCGCCCAACAAAAAGGGGGTTAGCAGGGTGCAAAAAATAGATGGCACAACTTATGAGCAATGATCATACCTCTAACACGAACACTCGTCTACTTTTGGACACATTTACCACTTTTCCAGCTGCAGGCATGCTGGAAACCTAAATTGGTGGGTAGAAGAGGCTATGCAATCTAAACCCTTCGTATTTTCTAAATTTGATGAACATCTGGAGCTCGGAGGGCCAACTGCCCGACGCCTCACAGGTGAAGGAGACCTCGGTCGAGGCGTTCAGGGGGATCTTCATGTCTGCGATCCGGCCATGGCAGCAGCTGGTGCTGATGGGCGTCTGGATTGAAGCAGCGCCGAAAGGAGCCTCAAGCTGACTTCCATTTGCGCTCTTGCCCCCTGGAAAAAATGAGAATAGGATGATTTCCAGTGTATATAGGTTCCCTTGAAAACTATCAGGGGACAGCAAAACAAAAAATCTTCGGATGGAAAGGGACCCACGACTGATCCACCTTCTCTTCGCACAGCGCCGTAGTTTTTGGGTCAGAGCCCCAGTCCGGGCCCAAACTCCCCAAAGCCCTGAAGTGGAGTGTCCCAAAGAGTCGACACTTGTTTGCCACTGACATGGTTCAGACCCAAACGTCCAACTGGGAATGAGCATCTCTTCCTGTTGGACGATTTTAAGGGGAACACTTTCCGGCAAAAAGGGCAGAATCCACAGGGCCACTGGGTCCCTTTGCATCCAGAACGTCTTAAGGATGTCGCAAAACGGGGAAGTCGCCCCCAAAAAACGGGGAGAGGCCCATACCCATTTGGGCTGAAGATCCATCGATCGGACCCGAACGTTTAACAGTACTACAACCAACAGAAACACACCCACATCCCTGCCAATTGTGTAATCCTGATTCTGCAAAGTGGGTTGAACACCCATGGTGAATAGCTTGCGTTGGGTATCATTCAGCTAACCTCACTTGAGTGGGTTGGCCAAAAATCGTATCCACAAGCTGTGAGTCATTGAAGGAATCCATGGCGCCCGTTCTGATCGGTTAACCCACAACTGGTTGGATGGCTCGGACTGAGTCCCACCCCTTGACAGCCAAGGGGCCCAAGTTGAGCGGTTGCGGCCCACCCAATTTGTTTGGTAGCCCTTTGGGGCGGCTTCTTCGGGGAGTGTACCAACAATACTTGTGTGGGGTTGTGTCAAAATAGGTCACTCTGGAAATGGGATGTTGTCCTTTTAAAACCGCCAAAAAAAGAGGCGCCGTCAAACAAGACGCGACCATGTGGGTATGTGTCACAGGGGGACGCGAAAGGGTGGCCCCTTGACTACTTAACGTGGACCAAAATGGGAAAACCAGAAAGTCTAAAGATGGATGTTGGAAAACTGAGATAAACGAACTCCAGGAATCCCGCTGTTAAACCCCAAGTAGAGACCCCCCTAACTCCAGAAACGTGTGGATCCTATCGTTCAACCCCCAGTATAGAGAACCCCTTGATGTTGATGTTCAATGTATATATATATATATATATGTCTAGATATAATATATATATATATATATATGTTTAGGTAATATATATATATATATGTATTAATGTAATCATGGCTGTATGTGTATATATATATATGTAGATATATCAAGTTGACTGGGGCAGATCCAAGCGCAGCTTTCGCGCGCTTGAGCTTCCAGATCCGAGGCGCTTCCTCCGCCTCGATGCTCAAGGTGCCCTCGGGCCCATGGAGCTGACTGCGGCGCACCGCCGCGCAGAAGGGCTCCGGCGCGAAGTGGCCCGCGAAGAGCTTCCGGTGGTGGAAGCCTCGCGCCAGGAAATGCGGGCGGCTGCGGAAGGGGGAGAAATGGGAGGTGGGGCATGGGAATGCGAGTTCCTTGGGCATATGATTTGTGTACTCATAAAGATATCCATGGGTGTCTTGGTGTAGCGAGTTCTTGTTTTTATACTCAAGAGAAAATAGCCTACAGGGGTGGAGCGACATAAGTCGATCAAATGTAAACCGTGGACAAAAAGAACCAAGTCCCTGCTTCAAGGGGCGATCGACTCGGTACGTCAGGCAAGTGGTGCTCGTAAGCCTAGTGAGACAATCCGAGCCATGGCATGGTAAAAAGTCTGCGCTCAGTGGGTTATAACCAGGCTTAATAATTCGCTAACCACTTGCTGAGTACAGCCCGCGAGGGGATGTGTAGCCCTTTTCAGTTTCGTGCCAGCAGTTGGGGTGGTTAGGTCAAATGTTGTATCAGAAGAGGTTGCTCGGCTTTTAGAGCGCTTGGTGTGGTTGGCGGTTTTTGGCTTAGTTTGAAGTGGGGAACACATGGGAAGCCTTGGAAGGAAACCCGACCCCTTTGTGATTTTAGAGGGGTTTCCCAAGACAACCGGGTCTCCTCTGAGTGTCTCCCCCACAACTCACGCCCGAGCATCTGGTAAAAACGAGTGACTCAAGTGACCTGGTCTTCGAGCCTTACAAAACCTCCGCGGCCGCCCCATTTGGCCAACGACAGAAGCGGCCACTCGAGCCGAGCCGAGGCGTCATTTGGCGTCGAGGCGCGCATGTAGGCGGCGAAGTCCAAGGGGGTGACCTCCTTGCCAATGGCCGCCACCAGCTGCTTCCGGAGCATCTCTTCCTCGGGGATGCGAAAAAGGGAGGGGGGGGTGAAACCTGGGGTAAAATTTCCAGGGGTTCACCTGGCACGGTCAAGCTTCAACCCCAAACCTCAAAACTGGAGGTATTTTCGCAGAAAGACCCAACCTCCTGGTCAACTAGTCAATGGGCCTGGTCGCTGAGAACCTCGAAACAACCAAGCACTTGGTACTCGTGTGTCCCATGAACCTGGAACCTATGAGAAGGTCCTGGCTATATCCAAACCAGGACCCTGGTTGGTTCCATGTTTTGCTTTTCATGCAAAACTTCGACCAGTCTGTTGTCAATTTTGTGGGGGGATCTCCATTTTTAATCCCCACCAGTGGGTCAACATGTGGGACCATCTTAGATCTTGGCCTTGAAACTTTGCGAAATGATGAAGTTGAACAGATTTCTCATGACCCTTCACAAAACGGTCGCTGCTGTACCCATGTCATCATTCGGAGAGATGGCCCCCATGTTCAAAGGATACTGAAGACTTCAGGTATGTTGGATTTGCATTTAGTGTTCGACCGGAGACACTGGCTCCAAATGGTATTCGTGCAACACAACAATAAAACCCTAGGGGACAGTTAACAATTTTACATGGAGCTTGGTTGCTGTTGACCCCTCTGCAAAAAGGTGGTCAACATTTTGTGGGTCCAATAAGTAAAATTCCAGCAGTTTCCACCAAAAAGTGTTGAAGTCCAAAGATCCACTACCAAATACCCATCAAGTGGAGTATCACCCCCCAAAAAAGGGGCAACGTGCCCAAGGGGTGGAGACGCCAGGTGGCTATCATGGGATCCCTAAGTGGAAACCTGGCCGGGGACTGCGGCTCGGCTCATATTGGGGTTCTGGACCCCAGAAACGAAAAAACAACACACAAACCCACAAAAAAACAGAAATGAGGTTTGAACTTGAGACTTGGAGCAACTCAAAAGGGGTGTCTTGTTTTGACCCTTAGAGGGGAACGGGAAACCAGCCCAGGTTGGGGTTCCCCGATTTTCAAAACCAAACCTTTCCAGGGGATTTGGTCGATACATGGGTGCAACAGCACAGATCGAAGATGGCGATTCGAAATGAAAACTTGCTTGCTATTGTTTGTACTCTCCCTCAGTACCTTCGAGTCACCACACGCCTATGCAACCTTGGACATCTGGTTTGCACAGAAAATCATATGCTCTCACTATGCTTCTTTTGTATATGAAAGTTTTTTTGAGGAGACCCAGCGACTTGATCTCAATTCTTCCACGGATGGGCGAGTCCCAAATGCTAGGCGCCTGAGGGAGCTGACTTGCTCACCTCAGTTCCTTGGCGACTCCTTGGGTTCCCGGCTACAGAAACCCCAGGAAAGGGCAGCTTTGAAAACAAGTCGGACGCCCGTAAGGGGCCGCCGACTTTTTTGTTTTTCTTCCCAAGGAGTTTGTCCGAGGCTTGCGGGACCTGTTGCTGGTCCGGTCCATTTTTCTAGGAGTAACTTCCCCATTCTTTCCAGGGATCCTTCTTTCTAGAAAACCACCAAAAACCCTGGGGAAATGGCTGGTTGTTGAAAAGAACGATGGTTGAAAATAATGGGGAATCAACCCCTATAATTTTAGAGTCGTTTAAGGTACGGGACCTCATTATGGAACATGCCTTCGCCCCATGGAATCGCCAACCGAATCCGCTCAATTTGCGGACAGCGCGTCGATGAAGGCCATCACCTGCGCTGAAACAACTCGGAGTTCGTGTTGGTCCCGGGCGTTTCAAACGTGTTTTCTGCAATGGTGCCATGGGGGGGGGGACCCTGCATTTATGGTGCGAAGCTCTGTCAAAACAAGGTTGCAACTAGTAACCAAATAGAAGAGCGCCAAAGCCATTTTCAGGGATTCCCCTGAAACAAGTGCCCCGATTCAGTCTTTATCCTTGCAACAAATCCAAGTTGCGCCAGAAGAGTCTTTGGCAGCCTCTAGATTGATGCGACGCAGGACACGGCGATTGGCCAGGGTCAAGGAACCAGGGGTTGCTTATAATTGGAGATAGAAGGACCCCGTCTCAAAGTGCTTCTTAAAATTATTGAGAGGTCCCTCAATTTTGAAGCAAGGGAAGGTCCAAAGCAACTCAGTAAGAACCACTCAGTGCCGCTTTTCAACATCGTTGCATGTCAAGTATGCAACCAATTCGGTGGGTAGCCTTTTGCAGGTTCGTTCAAGATGGAAACCAAAAGGAAACCACCAATTTTGGGGCTCCCAGGAACGGGACAAGAGCAGCTATCCTGGGTCTGCATTTTTGCTCTTCTTGGGGCTTAAAGGAGAAGCATGATGTCGAATCCCTACTTCGGGGGCGGTAAATATGCGTGATCACCAAAGACTCCAAGTAGTCAGCTCGGGCAGTCATTGCACTTTACAAGTACTTCGGTGAAGCGAAGCAGCCCCAGGTTTTCTAAGCAATTGGGCTAGAGCACAATGCACGTCTCCTTGTAGTTTCCTTTGATTAAAACGCCCTGTGAATGAACGAAATTCGGTTCGCACCATTGTTAAAGCATGGTTGAAACCATTGTTCGTTGGTATTTGCAGGGGAATCATATCATTCCGAATCATGTGAACGGTGGTGCAAAATGGATTTCGCCCATCTACAGTACGGCCTATCTTGTTCCCCAGGTCGGATCGTAGCTTTCGGCGATTCCCTCTCTCGGAGCTCGCTCGCCTCCAGCCACCGCTTTGCCACGCTGCTAAAGTGGAAGCAGGCCAACATCAGGTAGGCCTCCAAAGCTTCCCAAGCCATGGCACTTTTGCGCTTGTAACATCACTTTGGAGCAGAAATCAAAGCCCACTTGCAAGACCAAGGCTGGAGCACCCAAGCTTCCCCCCAAGTTGGTGGTTTGGATTGGATTGGGGTTTTTGAACCCTTCCTTTTACAACCAAATAAACAGGGAAGGTGTACGAACGTCCAAGCCACCAAACCTCCAATTAGGGAAGCTGACATTTGGTGTCCTCGATGGACACGCACATGGGTTTGTGTCAAAATAGGGATTTGCACACCCAGAATGGTGGCTTTCTTTTTTTCCTTTCAGGAAACACACATGGAGTCCAGTGGTAAATGAACCAGACTGAAATCAGTGCGATTTATAGACCTGGGTGTTCTTTGCTTTCCTTGGAAACACAACATGGATTCCATGTGCACTTAGGGTTGACCCTCAAGTCAGTAGTGCACAATCGTGATATTCGCATGTTTTCAAGCAGGGTGTACCCTTTTGGCAAAAGCGTTGGGGTAAATCTACTGAAAATCAAACAAGGCCCTTGAATGGTTTTGTGGGAAACCAAAAGGACGGTGTACAATTTGGGTGCGACCTTCTTTGAGGGTACCTTTGTTTGGATGACTTTAAAAAAGGAAACCCAAAGGACAACCCGCAATTTCGGGGGTCCCCTAAAACTGACACGCCGCTTGGGGGCACCCAGCCTGAAATCCTCAAAAACCCGAATTGCCCAACCAGGCAGAACCGCGCCTCCACACTGGTAAAGCCCTCTTGTGCCAGAATCTCCTCCAGGCACACAAAATACGCTCCAGATTTGTTCAGAAGGAACCCCAAGCTTCTACAAATGGATGGGTCGTTTGGCTTGGTGTATGCAGCCCTATGGACAGTATCACAGCGTGGGAACCACTTGCTAAAGCAAGCGGAGACTCCAGCAAGCTAGCCTGCAGTTTTTGTGATTTGAGCCCAACCCTGCTAGAACTGGCCTGACCAAAGCATAGTGACCAACCCTATGCCGGTCCAAGTTCTGGCCTACTTTGACGGTGCCTTGGGGGGTCCCCCCGGCATATTCGCGTGTGGTCAATACGCCGTACAATTGAAAAAAACCCGTGCGCCAACGCAAACGGCAAATACGCTAACAAAAAATAGCCCAGGGCGACTCATTTCCATCGTCTTTCCATGGTGACAATGGTTGCTCTCAAGTTTCTTCAAAAGTCGTTGTTCGGCAGCTCAAGATGGTGGGAAGTGATTTGGCTGCTCAAAGAAGTGATTTTGTGGCTCTTCAAAAAGAATCGGTTGCTTCGAGTGGTGGGAAGTGATTTTTTTGGCTTCAGAAATCATTTTTTGGTTTTGTTGGCTTCAAAAATCACTTTTTGGATGCTAAGGATTTTCTGGCTCTTCAAAAATAACTTTTCGGTTGCTCGAGTGGTGGGGAGTGATTTTGTGGCTTCAAAAATCACTTTTTGGCGGCTCAAAATGGCGGGCTCAAGACTGCGGGGGGGAAGGGACTTTTTTGCTCTTGATTTTTTAGTTTCAATCATTTTTCGGCTGCTGTAAATGGCAGAGGTGTTTTTTGCTTTAAATAATACATCATTTTTGGAATGGCGGACGTCATCTTAGTTTCAAAATCACTTTTTTGCTTCTCAAGATGGCAGGAGGTGAGTTGTGGCTTCAATTTTTTCGGCTGATGGCGGAAAGTTATTTTTGGCTCAAGATGGCGTCGGCTTCAAGAATCACTGCTCAAGATGGCGGGAAGCTCCCAAACCCTTGTGGAGCTCTCCTCAAAACCACTGCGTGCATCCCGGAACAGGGGGCCGCTTTCTCCATTTAGTTTGATTTTTCTTACATGAATGAGTCTTCTACTTTGTGTTTTCATAGCCTAGCGCTCTCTCACTTCACGGAAAACAGCAGCAGGCCGACCAAGCAGGCCAGTGACAGGCCCTGAGAAAGCCAACTCAGAAAAAGCAAGGCAGCCACACGAAAGCTGAATGGAAAAACTAGGCAGCCACACGAAAGCTGAAGGCACCAAGGCAGCCAAAACAAGCAAACTAGAAGCTGAATGGAAAAATCCTATGTCACAAGAAGCAGCAGGCCGACCAAGCAGGCTGGTGATAGGCCCCAGCAACAACACAATGATTAAACCGGAAGTTTACTGAAAAAAACTATCGCTTCAGGGAAAGCAGCAGGCCAAGCAAGCCAGTGACAGGCCTTGAACAACTATCCAACTGTGCAACACAACATCGGGGCAGCCACGCGCAACAAGCAAATTAGAAGATGTGTATAAGCAAAGCAATCTTCACGAGAAGCAGCAGCCCGACCAAGCAAGCCAGTGACAGGCTGTCGAAGAAACAACTGCAGACGAAAAACACAACATCCGCACACAAAAAGCAAAATAGAAGCCCCACCACGAAGTTCCCACTTTACGAATATCAGCGGCCCGACCAAGCAGGCCAGTGACAGGCCCTGAACAGATCCAACTGCGAAAAAACACAGCCCGACCCGGATATTCAACATTTTGAAATTTTGAACACTTGGGGGGGGTCCGAGATCTTGAACTTTTCCTCAAGTAAAGAAACATCACTTTGAACTTTTTGAACTTGATTTTCTCAAGTAAAGAAACATCACTTTGGGGACCGGGGTTTTGAACTTTTCATTGAATTCCCCAAACAATGAAGCATCACTCTGGGGACCCGGGGCTTTGAACCCTGCTTTTTGACCTTTTGTTTGTCTTTCAAAATCCCCAAGTCCAATCTCACCATGGTCTCACCTAGGCCAAGCTAGAAGCCAGCATCGTCTCTCCAACATTACGGATGGCCGTGAGATATTGCGAGCCACGTTTTTTCGGCCAATTCAGTCGAAGTGTGGCTGCCCAACTTGCTTTTGGCTGACCTAGTTAGTTTTTTCAACGTACCAAATTTCCGTAGCTTCCACCAACCCACCTCCAAACCATCAGCTCGAACTAAATGAAACAACCCCCCTCCAAACCAGCATGCAAACAGTTAAAAGAGATACAAGAAGATAAAAGATGATGAAAAGGTTTGAAGACAGATGCACAAAGATTAAAAAACACAAAGAGATAAATACACCAAAAGAAAAGATTCAATTGCTTGTTTTCTCTCTCATCTTTTAGTAGAAGATGTGTGAAAGATAAAGAACAAACTATCTTCTTCTTTCCTCGCTAGCTACTCGTAAGTCTACTATATCTCCGGCGGAACATAGCCAAACACGTATGAGATAAACATAGGATAACCCCAAACAGACCTTTACCCCACCTACTATAGCTTCTATTTCCAAGCTATCTGCACGAGTCTTCCTAGTAGGCGCCTTTGTGGTTGGCGCTGCAGCCAAAGCTGAGCCTCGAGGTGCTTCCTGTTCCAAGCCCCCCGTGGCACGCGCTCTGCTGCGCCTGCAAGCAGCCGGCTGGGGCTGACCATTGGCGTGGTTCGCGCCGGCGTCGGAGGCGGGCTCTGCATTCGTGGGCTCTTCGTGCGTGAGCGACTCGGCGCGATTGTGTGAGGGGTTCTTGACTGTGGGCTTCGTCCGCGAGCGACTTGGCGCGAGCGCGGCATGGCGGCTTGGGCGCAGGGGTGCCGGTTGGTGGTTGCTTGGTTGCCCTAGTTGCCAGGTTGGCCCGTTGCTTCATTGGTGGCCCTGTCTCAGAGCATACACGGCGCCTGGCGGCCCAAGCGCTGTTGCAGCGGTTCCAGCACAAACCCAAGAAGCCCCATTTGCCAATCAAAGGAAAAATCCAAAAAGCAAAAAAAGCTAACCAGTGGTCTGACGAGCATGAGTAGGCTCAAGCAAAGAAGCCAAGAAACCAACCCAGCATGGCAACCACCAACGCCCAGCAATGGCAGCCAGCTCCTCGAATCGCGCGGGCTGTGGCTCGGCGCAAACTACAAACTCCAGCGATCTTGTAGTGGATGCTCCTTACATACAGATCTTGAACCGAGACATTGTGTACAAATGATCCTCTTGTGGACCCTGTGCGCAAAGCTAGTAGGAGGAGGAGGAGGAGTAGTACAAGCAGTAGTAGAAGTAGTAGAAGTAGTAGTAGTAGTAGCAATAATCGTAGTAGTAGTAGTAGTAGTAGTAGTAGTAGTAGTAGTAGGAGTAGTAGTAGTAGAAGTAGTAGAAGTAGTCGTAGTAGTAGTAGTAGTAGTAGTAGTAAAAGTAGTAGAAGTAGTAGCAGTAGTAGTAGTAGTAGAAGTAGTAGTAGTAGTAGCAGCAGCAGTAGTATTAGGAGTAGTAGAAGTAGTAGAAGTAGCAGTAGTAGTAGCAGTAATCGTAGTAGTAGTAGGATTAGTAGTAGTAGAAGTAGTAGAAGTAGTCGTAGTAGTAGTAGTAGTAAAATTCGTAGAAGTAGTAGCAGTAGTAGTAGTAGTAGTAGTAGAAGTAGTAGTATTAGTAGCAGCAGCAGCAGCAGTAGTATTAGTAGTAGTAGTAGTAGTAGTAGTACTAGTAATAGTACTAGAAGTAGTAGTAGTAGTAGTAGTAGTAGCAGCAGTAGTAGTAGTAGTAGAAGTAGTAGTAGTAGTAGTAGTAGTAGTAGTAGCAGTAGTAGTAGTAGTAGTAGTAGTAGTAGTAGTAGTAATAGCAGTAGTTAGTAGCAGTTGCTAGCCACACAGGTTTGAATCACGACGCTCACGCTTGAAACACAGCATGCTAAGCTGGCGACAAAGGCTTGAAACACAACATGCTAGCCACACAGGTTTGATCACGACTCGCTTGCCACTGAAGCTTGAAACACAGCACGCTAGCCACAAAGCCCAGGAACACAGCAAGCTCGCCACACAGGCTCGTAAACATGCTGGCCACACAGGCCTGAAACACAACACGCTAAAAGGACCTTTGAAGCAAGAATCACTTCCCGATTGTCCAACGCAATAAGCACTCGCCATGCAGAGCAACAAAAAAAATGTTGAGCTCAAAAAACAGAAAAAACAACTTGCTGGAGCAAAATCACTTCCCGCCATTCAGAGCTACCAAGAACTGTGGTTGAGCTCAATAACCACTTCCCGCCATTCACAACAGCCAAAAAGTGGATTTGTTGAGCTCCAAAATCACTTTCCGCCATTCAGAGCAGCCAGCAAGGCGACAGTTGGAGCAGGGAAGACGTGTCTTTTGAACTGAAAAACATTTTCTGCCATTAGATGGTTTTCTTGTGTTGGTGCTTGGTTGATTTCTTTTTATGGCCGGCGGCTTTGCCGGGCTCAAGGTGGTCAGAGGGCGTTGTTTTTCGGGCAATGGCTGGCAAAGAGTGCGAGAACGTGGCTGGTGCGGACTGGTTGTGGAATAACTGCCTACACTTTTCAAGAACGACCCCGCAGCTTGTTGCTGGGAAGGTGGGTGAAACCGGTCCACCGGCAAGGTATGGTTGTGCGGGGGTTTTTCTGTCGCTGATTCCTTGTGCGTACCGTTGCCTTGAAACTCAAGGTGGCTCTTTAGTGGACATCATATATGTGGGGATCTCTGCCCACCAAAGCTCTTGTGGTCATGGTTTCCCATTACTGGCCATGGGGGAAAAACATCCCCATTTTTGTGGGGTTCCGCCAATTTTATCAAGACTTCCTGCAAGTGCTGACCCAAGCCCATGCCGAAGCCAAAAATCGGGCCTTCTCGCAGACAAAAAAGGGAACTGATTCAGGAGCATGCGTGTGGTTAGCATGCATTGGCAAAACTAAAGTCACGCCACGCTCCCACCTCAAAGGGCGGCCGGGGCCGCAAGAAATGTTTTGTGGACGCTCACTTACGATATCGGAAAAAACGGTCTCGGCAAGGATTCCTTGCAAGACTGTGAAATCAACCAAGGGTTGTTTTGGTATATTGGGAGCGACGCCCCGCCAGTTTACCTGAGACACGTTCCGCAAAAGCGTGCGAAGCTTCCTCAGCTCAGGCGGTCTTGCGTGGACTCAAAGAGGCTCACGTTCCAGCAATCCGGCAAGCTGTCAGGATCATCGAGACTTGGGATGCGCTGGCGGGCGGGGCTTTTTTTCACAAGACGCAAACTTGTCTAGAGTTCGACCCACGAAGTGTCAGGGTCCGGTTTATGCCATTTCAAGTCTTGGATGAGTGAATCAACGAATCCAGTATGTTAACCATACCAAGCATACCGCTGCACGTCTACCGTTGTACATGTTGAGACAGGCTTTGGTCGCATTGCAGTCGGGTCGGTCCCGTGTTCCTCCTCGTCCGACACTGAGTCTGTATTCTTCCACTTGGAAAAGCATGTTCCACTGCTATCGGCAATGCCCTGGATGGTCGCCTTGTGCCAATGAACCTGGGCGTTATAGTCTAAAGGCAAGTCTGGCGTCTTGCTGGCTGCCTTGGCCGCAGTATCGGCCACCTGATTGCCGATCAGTAGTACAAGTCACTCGGCGAGTGTTCCCCAAACAGCTTCGCCGTAGGGGTTCTTGATTGATTTGAAGAACGCACGCCTGTTTTCAACCAGGAGCTGCTCACCAAAAGAATTCATTTGTCTCCCAGCTCGGTTAGCGCTGCCAGATGCTCTGCACGCCTCTTCGGGCGGGCGGCTGACTAAACCAATTCATTTGTCTCCCAGCGGCCGGCAGACTAAACAAAAACATTTGTCTCCCAGCTTTGTTAGCAGCAAACGAATGTATTTGTCTCCCGGCTCGGCTAGCGCTCCCAAGATGCTCTGCACGCCTCTCCGGGTGGCTGGCTTAGCGCGCTGGCTGAGTAAGCTGTCGTTCGGCTCGGTTAGCAGTGCCGGATGCTCTGCACGGCTCTTCGGGCGGGCGGCTGATGAAACGAAGTCATTTGTCTCCCAGCACGGTTAGCGCTGCGGCTGAGTAAGCTGTCCCCCGGCTCGGCTAGCAGTGCCGGATGCTCTGCACGGCCCTTCGGGCGACAGCTGACTAAGCGAATTCGTTTGTCTCCCAGCTCGGGTTTTGCGCTGCCTGCAGCAATATGACGCGGCCCACATTATGCGCGTACAGTCACGCATTCTTTGTTTGCTTCCGGCATCACTAGCGGACTGTCTGCATCATCATGACACTGCTTGCAGTGACGCGTTGTCACATTGCCGCCTGCATTCGGATGGCGCGGCCTGCGTCATTGCGAGGTGGCCTGCTTCATCACCTTGGCGCTGCCTGCATTGTCATGATGCTGCGCGCATGCTCATCGTGCACCGCCTTGATCCTCATGATGCGGCCAGCATCATTGTGCTGAAGTTCCCTGCATCATCATCATGCAGCCTGCCGCAAAAAGCGTAGACTCCAAACAGCAGCATTTGCACCCGGCGTTGTTCTTTGAACTTGCTTATGTGTTCGATATAAGGACTACAGTAGCGCTATGTTCCAACTTGACAACTAGCCGAATGCCCAGAAAGTCACATCTATAAACACGCTTTGCTCGCAGGTGCTGCCGTCTGCATCATTACAGTGCGTGTGCATCATCATGAAGTTCCTGCCTCATCAACATGCCGCCTGTGTCATCACAACGTTGCCTACATCGCCACGATGCCGCCGATGCTGCTCGCACAAGCGCGTGCTGCTACGTTCCTCACGATTTGTTGTGAACATTGTGCCTTTCGCATCACGGTTACCAGCCTATGCGATGATGCTGCCTGCATCATTCGGATGCGGCCTGCGCTATGCCCATGTTTCCTGCGTTGCGCCTCCTTCATTATCGGGCTGTTGGCGTCAGCATGAGGCTGCCTGAATTGTCACATTGCTGCTTGCATTTTGCTTCAGCGTCCCGCATTAATATAACAAGGCGTGCTCGATCATCTTGCTGCTGCCTGATTAAGTAGCGCCTGCACCATCACGGTGCGTGCGTGATCATGGCGCCGCCTGCATCATGATTTTATGCCTTGCGTTAGCGTGGCTTCGGCTGCATCATCATGATGCAGCCTGCCCTAGCATAAAGCTGCATGCATCATGATCACGCAGCTTGCACCAGCGTCATGGTGCATGCACCATCATGATGCGGCCTGCATCATTGCGACGCGGCCTGCATCATTATGATGCGGCCAAGCAGCCAGACTGAGCCGAGCGCTGCAACAAATGGCGCGCGGCTGTTGGGGTCTACGCTGGTAGTATAATTTATTGGCAGATAGCAAGTCCTCGCTGTTCCGCTTGAGGGAGTCCTTCTCTTCCCGACTGCGGCAAGAAAAGTGTGGCTGAGTGCTCTCGCGCCTCGGTGCATTGAGATGACCTAGGACCATTGCATACGAAGCCTCTTTCACTCGCAGTTCCAACTGTGTCCCGTTCTGTTCCCACCTGAATTTCTCACTAAGAGAATTCAGGGAACAGCCTCCAAGCCAAATCCCACCGGCACACGGATGACCCACGCTCATTCTCGCTGCTTTCCTGGAAATCCCACCGGCACGAACGACTGCGCCTCGTTGTCGCTGCGCCTCTGTGGGCCAAATCCGCCCTGCACCTCCCGTCACCTCGGCGCTGGTTGCATCCGCAGAAGCAAATCCCACCAGCACACGCCGCCGTCACCTCCATCCTTGCCGCCTCTGCCAAGCCAGATCCCACCGGCACATGGATGACCCCAGCTGATTCTCGCTGCTTTCCTGGAGCCAAATCTCACCGGCACACGAACGACCGTGCCTCGGTATCGCTGCGCCTCTGTGGGCCAAATCCGACCGGCACGCGGCCTCCAGCACCTCCCGTCACCTCGGCGCTGGTTGCATCCGCAGAAGCAAATCCCACCGGCACCTCCATCGATGCTTGCCCGCCTCTGCCAAGCCAAATTCCACCGGCATACGGCTGACCCCAGCTCGTTCTCGCTGCTTTCCTGGAGCCAAATCCCACCGGCACACGGACGACCGCGCCTCGTTATCGCTGCGCCTCTGCGGACCAAATCCCACCGGCATCGCGGCCTCCAGCACCTCCCGTCACCTCGGCAAGCCGCACGCGGCCTCCAGCACCTCCCGTTACCTTGGCGCTGGTTGCAATTCAGCCGGCACACTCACCGACAGCCAAGGTCGTCCCGGCCATTCAGCCGGCAAGCCGCTCGTTCGGCCATTTCCCCGCCAGCGGCGCTTGCACGGTATGCTGCAACTCGGTACACTTGAGGCCCGACCACCTGCGGTATGCGGTAAACTCGGCAAGACTCGGCGCGCTTGATACCGGTCACGGTTCTTGGCGGCGCTTGCGCGGTATGCTGCAAATTCCGCCCTGCGGTATACGGTAACTCGAAACACTTGAGACCGGTCCCGTTCTTGCCGGCAATTCAGCCGGCAGGCCGCCTGTTCGGCCATTTCCCGGCCAGTGGCGTTTACACGGCATGCTGCAAACATGGTACACTTCAGGCCGAACCCCTGCCGATCCTCGCTCCCTCGTAATTAGACAACTAAACGAGAACCCAACCCCAAAGGGGTTTTTCGGAAAAAAGGAAACACGTGGCGCCACTGGGCTGGGCCTTTGACAGGGCCTTTTGGCTTCGGCTCCTCCTGAAATCTCTGGCGCTGCTCGGCCAGAAGCCGGGACTCCTGGTGAGAGGCAGATCTACCAGCTTGACTTGCGCCCACTTATGCCCAGTTCCGGTGACTTTCTGAGTGGATTCCTCAGAAGGGGCGTTGTGTTTCTCACTTCTTTTGTGGACGGGCCAAACCAAGTACGAACCGGTTATTCACCAAAACGGTCACGGTCGGCTCAAAAAGTATGAAGTTTAGTGAACTCAAGAAGTGAGGTTTACCACTCAAATCATCTTCCCAACCCGAAGCAAGTCTTAGGACCACCATGAGCTGGATTCAACCAGCTCTCCATCACCAAATGTCAAACAATGTCAACTGCATTTGAGTCATAATCAAAACCCGGTATTAAAATGGACCCAGAGCCATATAAAGAATTAAGAAGAAGGCTTCTATAGGCCTCAAATCTTTAACACACGAGGGAGCAGATCCACCTGCTAAAATGGCCAATGGAGGTTTGGGTGCTGCTGACATGTGACTTGTATGACTGAAACCTGGTTGGCCGATGAGTGGCCGCGCTATCGGCCGAGCTTCCTGGAACTGTTGTCCTGGTTTTTCCTTGGCCCTACTAGAAGTGAAAAAAACACTAGAATGGGGTTGTGACACAATGTGGGGTACTTCAACACCAACATATCTTCATGGGATAGCCCCTTGTACTGACTGAGCCCAAACTCCTCAACACAGAAGCTCAAGCTTTGCTTGCTTAGTTTCGTATTCCCCAAACAGTTTAACAGTTGAGTCACAACAAACAACAACAAATACTAAAGTGGCCTACCCAATCCACGTGAATAATTCCACCACGTGGGTCACAATCAAACCTGGCATTAAAATGCGCTTGACCCAGAACCATGTAAGAAAATACAAAGGCGGCTGCAACTATTTATGGCAAGGGGATTGTCCCTTACTAACCGGATCATCTACCCGAATCGGTCTTGAGCAAGTGGCTCACGTGGTTTTCATTGTGGCCCGGTCGTGTGGCCCAAACGCTGCGCTCTTCGAGGTGTCCTCCACTAGGAGGCGGTTGCTATCCGCGTTCGAGACCACCAGCTCCTCCCTCGCCACGGGAGCTCCGTGTGAGCCACGGAAACTCGCTTATTTGTTTTAACATGTGCAGCACATGGTACCCTCCACCAACAATGGAATAGCTGACAGGAGGTGTTCCATTTGGGGAAGCTTCTTGTCCCATTCCCTGGTTCCGCTTCCTGGATTTATTTTGGGTGAAAGCAGCTTCCCAGCCAGTCAAAGCAATTGGTATATTAGAGAGTCCCTGGCTTGTGTGGGACCCCATCTTCCTCCCAAATGGACCCTGCTGCCAATTGGAGATGGGCAAATTAGAGAGTCCCTAATAGTGGCCCTCATGTCTGCCCCAATGGACCTTAGACTATGGTTTCTTACCGAAGCTCACATGCAAGGACATCCCTGATAAGGACCTGTTGTGGCTAACTGCCCCCTTGCCATTTTATATTGATCCCAAAGACCTATGCCCCCAGCGAAGATGACCCCTAACAAAAGGTGTGTGTGTGTGTACTGTACCCATTAAGCTTTGTACTAACCCGATGTTTGAAGGGTCAGAATTCGAGACTTCACTGGGCTGTCCTCAGATCCAATGCTAAAAGTTTAACAGTTTCTCTTTTAGTGGATGAAATGGAAACCCCGAACTAATCCCTAAAAGCCGAAAAGGCGAAGGGGACAGCTGGGAACTGCCAAGTTCAGGCATGCAACTTGGGAGCTTCAGCCGAGACGCGAGCCGGGGCTTTGAACGAAGAGGGGAAGCACAGGAACGAAGACCTGTTTTCGGTGCGTGAAGCGCACGAAAGGAGCACTTGCACATGGGTTGCTCCGAAGATTCCAGTTCTCTACGGTTGGACGGGGCGTTGCTCAAAATAAGGGACCTGTGGAGATGATGTTTTTGGTGTCCTTTAAGGATAGTACAAAGGGGGTCCTCGCATTTAAGAACCTTTCTGGATGTTCATTTCGCGCGGAGCCTCACCAAGGAGATTGGACCCTGGATGTCGGTTTCCCTTTAGTTTTCCTTTGAACCAAGATAAAAGAAGCGGGCACCCTCAAAGAAAAACGTGGAATCTGGAAACCTCCCCCGTTGTGCATCGAACTGCGTGATTCCCTACAAGTTGGGCACCACAATCCCAGAGCAAGTCTCGGAGCCATGAAACTACGCGTTTTCCCGTCCCCACGGTTTTGCGTTCATGTGGATCATTTATGTTCAAACAAAAATGATCAGGTTGTAGAGGGTAAACGGGCAACCACTCCCTCACTCCTAAACCACCAATTAGGAAGCTGAAAGTCTACCGTTCCCTGGCTGATTTCCCCAACAGCTGAAAGCTTCGGGGTCTTTGAGGATTCCAAGGGTTCCCGGGGCTGTTGGGGATACATCCTTTTTTTTTCTTTACAATCTACCTGCAATGAGAAGCAAGAGCCCAAGCAAAGGAACCGTCAGCGGGTGGCGATGAGCATGAGATTGAGCAAACATGAGCAAACTAGTGCCCTGGAACAACAAAAGGCAAACAAAACAAACACAAAGCAAGCAAACATGACTTTTCTAGCTAGCTAGCTAGCTATTTAAGCAACTCTAGCTAGCTAATATTGCTTTAAGAGAAACTCTCACAGCGCAAAAACCAGGCTCATGGCCATCCCCCTGCCCTTCGTTTTGGACGGCGCTTTGGCTTCAGGGGAAGTGGGAATCCACCCGCGGGAGGGCGCTGGAAGTGGCCACGGCTCGCCTTTCCGCGCACAGTGCACTTGATGTGGGGGAAATTTCCAGAAACAAAAACCAACTAGCTGGTTCTCATTTCCCGGCCATGAGGGAATGACCCCTTGAAAGATAAAACCATCCCCTATGCTTCGCTTTCAGGGAATCCCCCAACGCTTCCTTCCCAAAACCCCACGGAGGTCATTTCCTGAGCACCAGCAAGAAAAAAGACGCCAGACGCCCGCGGAGGTCGCTGGTAGGACCTAGGATTGAAAGGAACCGAATGAATGGTATAATGGTGCCACTCACGGAGAGGTGCCTCATGACTCCATTGCGAAGAGCCCGCTCCGTGAATCCTTTCCCTTGTACTCGTCGAGGAAACATGTATGGGAAGGTCCGTTGCTTGGGGTATGGCTACCCCTTACATCTGCGCATATTGTTCAATCCTAAAATGTCCGGATTGGATCCCGTTAAGGAACGCTAGCCGCTCGTTTTACCCCCGGATCTGTGAGCTCGCCATAGGCAGATACGTTTGGCATGGTTGGGGAAAATCACAACGTTCTGCGGGTGATTTAACTACACCACTTTACTCCGTTGCTGTTGTCTCCCTTTGCAAAAAGTGTTCAACTGTTCGTGGGTCCAATGGAAAATCCGAGCCGCTTCCATCAAAAAGTTCAAAGATCCAACCAAATAGCCGAAATAGTCATAACGTTTATTACGTTGAAGGAGGTTCCCTCACGATGTCCGGAGCTCCCCGCCTCGTGGATCTCGCTGGAGATGTGCAGCGGCCTCTCTGTGGGACGACATTTCCGAGCCAACTCGGTGAGGTAGGTTTCGATGTGAGTGCCCCAGAGGCCAAGCTTCTTCCTCAGGCGCTGGCGACTCCGATTTTGATGATCACCCAGTGGTTTATCACCCTGCAGATTAGCATGCAGCTGCTTGACCCTCGCATCCACCCACAGCACCTGCAGATTGCCAACCTGCAGCCTTTGTTGCGCCAAGACCCTTGCATCCCCAACATTTTGGGCTCGGGCCAAACCACATTCCAGAAGGGGCGCCTGTCCCTGAATTGGTCCAATCCAGACAAGCAAGCCAAATTCCACAAGGGAGGGACCATCCCTCATTCGGCGCTACAAGGTGGGTCTGGGCGTATGTACAGATCTATTTGTTTCTCAGTTTTTTTGCTTTTGTGGAATGTCAAGCTAAGCCCGTGGATGAAGTGGCCACCTTTGTTCAGCGAACTTGGTTGCGGTCATTGCTTTATTCTTAGTCACGCCCATGGAACTCATCAGAGGGCATGGGTCGAATTAGTTGAGTGCGGAAGAAGTGTATCTTGCCACGTTGATGAATTGCAGATAGAGTTTAGGGCTGTGGTGATACCAAAGAACTCCTCCTATGACAAAGTCATAAGGAAGGCCCAGATCGGTATCAAGGAAAAAACGTGTTTCCACAACCATGGAGCTGTGTTCAAAGTGCTCAGGCGCTCAGAGTGTTGAGAGTTGTCCACGGCTGCTGAAGAGTCCGTTCTATTTGTAGACGTGCATCTGCCCTTCTTCCGTGGCCACTCGAAGTTTGACAACCCAGAGGGTCAAGTCCAACAACAAATCCCGACGGGCTCCATGTCGGCTGAATTCAATCTGAGTGCGGGACGGGTGGTGCTGGGAACTAACTTGCACCTGCCTGACTGTGCGTCTGCCTGCCTTCTGACAGGGTGCTTACATTTCGGAAGTGTAGCCGAGGAGGGGGTGGGGGGGGCTGGACGGAAGAGGACGGGAGACCGGGAACATATATATATATATATGTTTGTTTATATATATATATATATATACAGAAGGGGTGCTCCCTGGGATGTATATATATATATATGTATGTAGTACGTATAGCTACATATATATATATATATATATATGAGCGCGTTGCGTTTGTCTTGTGGCGCATCAAGGCATCAAACACACTCGTTGACTCAAGGTCCATTCCAGAGGAACATGGTCTTTCTGGGACCCCAAGTCAGGTTCCATGTGAGTGGGAGGGCAAGCGCCCAAAGGTTTCCTTGCTAGTCTCCTTGGTACTTCATTTAGCCGGGGGTCTATGTTTATCTGCCATTTGGGAGGGCACTTTCCAACATGTAGCCCGCATCTTGGGTCCACAGAAAATAATATGTTATTATTCTGTTCGACATGACATCTAGACCACTCTAAGCTGGGTGTTCCCAGATCCCCCTGCCCAAAGTTTAACTTTTGGTGGTTTCATGGAAACTGCCACTGATCCCTCAAAACCTAAGGGGATGGCTGGAAGCACCAAGCAAAAAAACAAAACACAGTGTTGAGGGAGACCCCAGCTATGTCCAAGAAGGTTTTGCTTCATTGTGCGGATAATACAAGGAGGGAATCCCCTCTTTTGTTTTCATCTTGGACTCCCAACACATTTTGGCCCTAGATTTTTCAGAAAAGAAGCCCGGTGTGAAGCTTCATGTTGCCCCTTCTCCTTGGGCTGAGGCTCAGGTACTTCTCCATGTCCTCCACTTCCGCGTTCCTCCGTGGGGTGCGGCAGGTCTTGGCTGTGCGCTCCACCGAGAAGTTCGGCACCGGGACGTCGGAAAGGTCGGAGATGTGACGCAGCAGAAAGCTAATGTTCACCTGCGCGGACCCTTCAAAGGCTTACCCTCCCACCAGCTAACATGGTTTGGTGCACAAACGCCGTAGAAAGACTACTTTCCTCTTGGAAAGGGCCTTTTGCACTTCCATGTTAGTTGGTGGGAGGGTACCCAGTGCTTCCAGTTACCACGATGGCAGGCAACCTGGTAGAATTTTCAGATCATGGTTTCGCATGGCTACCTGCTGTACTGAGTTACCGCCGGCCTTTGATACCTCGATTTTCGATCATGGTTTCTCCTGGCTCTGCTCTATTCTAGGCTAACTGGAAGCACTGGGCCAAGCAAAGAAATGGGTTTAAGAAACAAAATGGAGAAGACATGGTGCAAACAGCTGGGCTTCAGGGTTTGCACCAGGGTTTGAAGGGTTTGAGGGGGATTACTTCCTGGCGGGCTTAACACAATCCGTGCAAACAAAGAAACCCCCCCTGCGAAAAAGAAGAGACTTACAAGCTGCGGATGTTGAAACGCGCCAGTGGTTGCCGAGGCCCCCGAAAATCGGCCCTAGAAAACCAGACGAGTTCAGGAAGCGATGGTTCCAACTGGGGTGGATTGGCCCAAAGTCAAACCTCGGTTTACCACTGCTAGGTCCTCCAAGAGAGAGGTTAGAATAAGGGCACCAACTTCTTGCTGTAGTCTATCTTAGTAGGGGAACCCTCCCCCAAAAATAGGGTAAAACCAAAATGTTCAAGTCCAAGCAACAAAACATCAAGTTAACCCACCTCGGTTAACCACTGACCAACTCTGTTAAGTTAAACCTCTGTTAACCACTTCTGGCCGCAACAAAACATCAAGTCCAACCCAGGGAAGCGAAAACCCGAGGCCCCTGAAATTCCTGAAGGCAAAATTGGAGCCGAAAAGCATGCCTCATGGTGGTCGTCTCGGGGCAGCAAAGGGCAACCACATGCTCTGCCAAAGAAGGATTCAGCCTCTTCGATCATGTGGTTGTTGATAGAAGGTGTTGCCGGTTGCTGTTGTTTGATTATAGATCATTTTTTGTAACCTTAACATGCCAAGTACATTCAAAAAGGATCCGATGTCCACAGGATCCGAATCATGGCAAAAAACGGAAGACCAAGACCCATACAGCCACCTCGGGAAGGCTCAGCCAGATTTCCCAGCCCACATCCGGCCTCCTCAGTCTGGGCGGGTGACTTCACTTCTGGATGTGGAGTCACCTGAGACCATTGCCGTGTTCAGCATATCACCCATCATGGAAGCGGGCCAGGGGCCTTGTTTCGAGGTCGGCAGTTTCCCCCTTGTCCAATTCCACGGTTGTTGGAAAGAGGGTGCAATGAGGTGGGTTTCCCCCCAAACCACAGTCCTCCGTTTTTGAAGACTGTGTCATGGTTAGCGAAAGATTTCATGATCCACTATTCATCGATCATCGTTGAGCGCCAAGCAAAACAATAGCCTTCTTTCTGAACCGGATAGCAGCAAAAGAAGCAAGCAATACGAAGAACCCTTGCAGGGTTCCTTTGACAATCCTCTTTCTTGATGCCGCAAGGGCGAGCTTCCGGCACCACGGGGAAGTATGTCCCCCACCAAAATCCATGGGGAAATATCCTCCCACCAGCACATGGAGGCGCATAGGCTGCTCTCCCATGAGGAACATCTTCCAAAAAGCACCAGTCCAGGACTATCCGCAATGATACTCTTAATGGCCGCATGCTGTCCATGATGTCATCCGACCTTCTTGTTGGACGCTAATTGCTAGCGGAAGCGGACACTGGCATGAATACCTTGTGTCTTCGCCCTTTCCTTGCGCAGTTGACACCTTTCGCGGGTTGGTGGCTGAGTGCGCTTGCAACTGCGCCGGCAAGATCCCCTACCCCCAGACTTGACGTCCCGGATGTCTCTACTTGATCCCTTGATGGTCGAGACTGCGAGTCATGGCCCTGGATCCCGTTAAAAAACAAAGAAATCCTGACTGTGGTTCGACCTTACTGCAACCCGTGAGACCACACAAAGGGGGAGGATCCCCCAAAACAAAGACAAGACATAGCGCCTGTCTCAAAAGGAAAACTCGAGGAAACTTTGCCAATGCCTTGGCCGCTGCTTTGATCACCCTTCGGAAAAGCTCAGAGCAACTCGCGTAAGAAAAGTGGTCCAAAAAGTTAAAACCGAGGCTCAAAGTGTCAGAGCCTGTTAATGCTAGTTCAGGGGGAACCCCTCCTCAAAGCAATTTCCCAAAAAAGAACGCTAATTTAAAAGAATGGTTGAAAGCAACCACTAGATTACTGGGACAAGTTTCCGTGTCGCAAAACAGAACCGACATGGTCGAGAATTGCCCTTCATGGGTTTTGTCCCACCTTGGGTCGTCGTTCTTATGTGACGTGTCAGTGTGGTGTCCCTCCCTGTTTTGCCTTCAAAGGGTTGTGCCCATGCGTGACTCACGCCCTTCATAGTGTGTTGTTCTTCTTCTTTTTCTGAAAATAGTACCCCGTCCTTGATGTCCATTTTTGGTATTCCTTGAAAACAAAACAGCAACAAACAGGATGCGGTTCCATGTTCAGCAGCACCCATAGGTTTTCAGCTGCTTCGCTCTCTCTCGAGAAAAACCAAAAAGAAAACAAACAAAAAGAAGAAGAAGAAGAAGAAGAAGAAGAAGAAGAAGAAAAGGACAAACAAAGGAAAACAAACAAACAAAAAACAAGGAGTTTCTCCGGCCTTGCTGCCGGTCTTGAGCTCACAGCTGCTGCTGCGGGACTGCACCACCAGCCGATCCGCCTCACCCAGGTTGATCCCTACCCCTCCACCTTCTCGAGTCTACTTTCCTTCCATTTGGTTAACACCCGTGGAAAAAAATGAGAAAACATTTCCAGTAGTGATCAACTCCTTTTAAATCCAACAAGGAAAAATTGTTTTAAAAACAAATGTCGTAGGCAAATGCACGCCAATCGAGTCTACTTCCTGGGCCAAAAGCCTAAAACGAAAGGCCTAGCTGAGGGTGCAAAATGGGTCAAGTGGGCCGAACCGCCAAAAAAAACATGGTGGTTTTCCTTGCGGTGTTCAGCAAAAAACCAACGGAAAACGGGTTCCCTCAAAAACAAACACAGCCAAATAGACCCTATTTGTCTTAAGGGGTATTGCCCTTTGGGCTTGGTTTAAAGCGAACCAAAGGCACAACCAAGACAACTACTTTTCGAGGTTCGTATCTTAAAAGAGATCCATGAGACCAGGCGTTGAAGCTTTGCAAGGCGTCCAGCATCGCCGCTCAGGATGTCTGCCTTCTGCCCCAGACATATCAAGCTGACCCCTTTGGCAAAGAATCCCTTGGTTTTTTCCGCAAGGGTCGAAGGGTTGAACCAATCCCAGGCACACGATTAGCATCACCAGTGGGTATTTGGATCACCGGAGGTTACACTGGGGTTTTGCAGTATTTCATGATTGGAGACAACGCATGGACCACGCCATGCGCGAAAACAGGGTGGCAAACATGGCAAATGCAAGCGCGATGACAACATGGCAGCACCATCAAGTACCGACTGTATGGGTGCGTCGTGGCTACTTCTTCCTACCCCTCTGTCTCTCTCTCTCTCTCTCTCTCTCTCTCTCTCCCTGTCTCTCTCTCTCTCTCTCTCTCTCTCTCTTTGCATGTAGCACTGGTACGGCAAATATTGCATACTGTTGTGCAAACACGTTGCTGCCACCCGCCATGCGGCTACATTTAAGCTAAGGACCGGGAGTCGCATTGAAACGCTGGGCTTTGCTCTAGCATGTTGCCACTCAACGGGGATGATGACCACCGGTCAGTGCCCATAAAGCTCAGTATGCCTTTGAACGACTAAACTGAAACATTTGGGTGTCTTTTTGGAGGCCCTCCCTTCCCAAACAAAAGACATGGGTGCGTCATGGTGCGGCCTTTTTGTAGGGCCAGCCACCTCCCCCCCAAAAAAAAGGGGGGGGGGAAAAACGAAACAAGAGCTTTGGGTCCCGTTGGTTGCCCTCTAAAACCGCAAGCAAAACCGGGAACCAACGCCAACAAGTGTTTCGCTCAGCCTGCTCAGCGCCCACACCGCGCAGGGCTTCCAGCTCCCAGGAGAACTGGCTCGAAAGGACGAGTGGAGCCCCTAAACAAGCGGGGAATGGCGGGATTTTGAGAAAAAACGGGATGAGATTTTGGGGTATGGGGATATTGGGATGGATTTTGGTGTCTGGGGCATGTAAGGAATAAAGATTTCGGGGTATGTAGCCTGTATAGCCAATGTAAAAACGCCCATGTTGGTGTGTGTCCATTTCGGGTATGCAAGTTGGCCCTTGGACAAAAGCGCCAATGAGCACGGCGCAAAGTCTGGCGGACTGTCTGGACAAAAGTAACCTGGGGACTGAGCTAAAGGGCAGACAAATGGCCTACCTTCGGATACAAAAAGCTGGATTTGCAGTTCTGGTCCAGGGTACCCTGTTCGGGGTGGTTCTATCGGGAAAGCAAAAGGAAACCAGCCATTTGTTGGGTCCCCTAAAAGAAGTCAGACAAATCTTTAGCTAGGTCCTCCAGTAGAGAGGTTAGAATAAGGGTACCCTTTTTTCTGTCGTCTATTTTAGTAGGGGAAGCCTCCCCAAATAAAGGGGTAAAAGGGCACTACTGGGGGACCTGGTTTAGCCAACCTGTTGACGAAAACAAGTCCCGAGACCCGAAAAATGGAGGTCTTTGGCAGGCCTCGAAGCGCCAGAAGTACTCGGTGACCTTGTTCACGGTTTTGCTGGTGAGTCCTTGCGGCGCTTGCGCGCTGCCAAAACCCGAGTCCTGCGGTTCTACCAAACTGGGTGCAGCTTACCCATTTCCCCCAAACCCCCCCCCCCCCCAAAAAAAAAAAAGCAGGTATAGAACCAGCTCAAGTGGCCAATGAGGGTTTTGGGCGCAGCTCACATGTTTCTTTTCATGTGGCGCGGTAGGTGTCTCCCAACACCGGCTGGACCCCACCAGGATGGGTTTTACATGGTTAAGTCTAGTTTGTCTTTGCGTTGCGTGTGTCTCCTCTGTTTCCTCTATGTTCTTTCTCTCACGTGCTGAAAGAAATGGACAATTGACATTATTGTTGAAGCAACACTTCATCTGGGCCAATACAAAGAAATCAAAGGTGAACAAATTGAACTTAGACAACCGAGTGCCAGCGTTATTGGTGGAACAAACTGTAAAAAAGGCCCCTGACCCCTTGCAGGAAGCACCCCTGTCTATGCGGTGCAAAAATATCAGTCATTGCGCAACTCCTGCACGACAACAAGTCCGCCGAGATAGCAACGCGGTATAATTGACCTATTAATTATACAAACAACCCTTTCTGCGTTTCGGGAGTCGCATCCCCATGACAACGTGCACTTTTGTAGGGGCTTCTCTTGATATTCCAGAAATTTGGCCCCGAAACTTCATTTCCCACAACCAATAATATGGGGTTTCTCTTTGAAACAGCCTCACACAAAGAACAGACCTGTGTGCATGTTGGCCAGCAAGGCATTGCTTGCTGCTTCTGAACCAACGATCTTCCGCTGTTGACGCCATGAAGAAAGGCCCTCGCGTGGCCAGCATGCAAATCTTCCATAACCCACCACAAGGCTTAAAGTATTTGCTAAATACGGGGTCTGGAACAAATAAAAGATACCAATCCCTCTTTTGGCATCTGCACGATTGGGCAGTTTAGCAACAAATATAGGGGCCTAAATACTTAGAATGGGGTTGTGATATTGTGTCCACATAAATGTTCATGTTCATACGATAATAATGCGTGCAATTTGATCGGCCCTTACAGTATGTGTCAACGCAGCGTCTTCGGACATCAGGTTCGCCCAGAGCTTCCAACTCATTCCTATTCCGGGTTTGTCGCCATACGTCTACCTGAAATGAATGAGAAAGGATCAAAACCTGCCACGGGAAAACTTTGGCACCCCCTAGTTGTTGGTTGATGTGAACGGGAACCCCGACCACTGACCAAACAAAGAGACAAGTGGAAGTGGAGGTCTGATCTATGCTTCACGAATCCAAGGCCCTTTTCCACTGCCGGGACTCCAATGTTCATCCCGCCAACTGAGATCTCGTTGACGCGCTTCGTGGGGTCCTCCAGCGGCAATTCTCCCAAACTTGGCTGGTGCTTTGGGCATGCGAGATCTGATCAACACTCAGATGAGTGGATCTCCATGGGAAAAAAGGGACATCCTTTCTTAGTCAATTAAGTTATTAAAGGGGAACCCTTCCAAAAAGAAGAAAAGAAAAAGGAAGCAACCCACTGGGCAACTGGGAATAAGATTCAGTGGGTAGGTCATTGAGGTTCGGAGCTTAAGCCAGGCGGAGCTCAGGCCCTCTTCGATGCCCCGAAACCGAGGCCGGGGCTTACCACTTCTTGGTCTGCTTGGTCGCTCGTTTGAGCTCACCCTTGGTTTCTTCATTTTGTTTTCATGGATCAAAGATGTTGGGTGTTTGTTTCTGTCTATTGAGCAAGGTAGAATCAAGGACATTGTGCAATCTGCTTTTACCCATGAGAGTCAGGCAAGCGGTTCAGTGTGATTCACACTTCAACCCGCTTTCCTCCCTGCCATAGAACCAGCTTTCCTCAAAAGAAATAGCAGATTGGAAGAGGGGAAAACCAGCCGAGTCTCCGCAATTCACTCCGCTCAGCAGAGAGCCCTGGTTGCTTAGGGGGAGAGTGCCAGGTGAATCCGGGTCGTCGGATCCAGTGACGGAGCCAGTCGCCCAGTCGCCCGGCCTCGACTTCTCTGGTCTCCTCCCGCAGGAAGTTGCAGGACTCCTTTGACCTGGTGGAAACCGTGAAATGAGTGGAAACCACCCGAAATTCATGGGCGGCTGAGGGGGGAGGGGGTGAGGGGGGCGGGGGGGGGGGGGAGGGGGGGGGGCGGGGGGGGGGGGAGGGGGGGCCTCCCCCCCAGCCCCGACAAATCAGCGATACCCACATGGATCATTCCCAAGTCGAAAAACTTGAAAGAAAGGATGTCCCCGGCACCACAGGAACTGGCGGAGAAAAAATCAGCCTGCCAGCTCATCAATAGAGCCTTTAATTTTGGGGATAACACTCGCAAAAGATCCGCTTGATGAATGCGGGGCTAACATTTGGTGGGAAATGGTTCAAACCCTGACCAACCCTCCAAATGGGTGATTTCATGCTGAATTCCAGAGGTGGGTCACTCCCCGAATGTTGCCGTTGAATCAACCAGCACATAATACACCATGGTATGACACGAAACAAGTAACTGCACCCTCCTTGTATCAACTGTATCCGAAATTGGATAGGCTCCATGTCAAAACGAACCTCGAAAGATATGGTTGCCCTCGTGGAATTACATCCACCAGCTCTTCCAGCACAAACCTTGCAGTACGCTCAATCGTCCCAAACCCTTCAACGTGTACTTAGAATTACTTAGACACGGACACAAGGGCAACACAGGCCGAAGGGCCCCGTTTTGATCACCACTAGGTTTCATGTTGTTGGCCTTTCAGGACACCCCACGGCGAGTTGAGAACACCTAGGGATTTTCCTCCCAACGTCTTCACGCGTGGATAGACCGTTCCTGGGAAAAGCGAGCGATATGCATGACAAATAGGGGTCCCAACACCGATAGCCTTGCAATATGGGCATGCGTTTGAGGGTACCCTTTTCAACATAATTGGTTTAAAGGGACAAAAGTTAAAACCAGCGAGTTCTGCAAGCTATAAGCCAGGCTAGGCGGCTTTTACAAAAGCTAGGCAAAAGCATGATGAGGCAGAAAGGGCAACCGAAGTGAACCCAAACCCGATGTGTGTCCTTCATCTAAGACAAACCCATCAGGCTGTTCTTTTTTTTAGGGGACCCCCGGCATAGCGGATTTTCGTTTGGTTTTCCTTTGAAGCAAGGTGACAAAGGTACCTTCAAAAAGACACGCACATTTCGATCACTAGCTCTTCCACGACCCATGCCTGAAGCGCAAAGACACGGCACCTCGGGCGAAAGGGAGAGAATCGAAAGTGGTTGTCGCCCTAGTGAGGAAACGAAAGGAATCCAATCCCTTTAGGGCGATCCCGATTTTGGCAATGCCACTGATATTGAGTTCTTCGTGGAAGACCTGACTTGGGGATTCGCCCCAACCATTTTTTTGAGGGTGTTCCCCGTATTCAAAATTGGGTGCTAGACTAAGCTGAAGGAGTCGAGTCTGTTTGGGCAAGGTGTCTTTCGGTGGTGTGACTGCGGATAGACAAAATCCGGCACCGGTTGGTACGTGAAGCTTAAGCCGTCCTGAAACCATGTTCCCAAAACGAATGGGGCCTTTCAGGGGATGTGTTGTAGATGCAACATCAGGCAAGCACCGATACCTGGTTGGTGTCGATTCCAGCCATTGCTGACAACAACTGGGAAGCGACATGAAACTTGATTAAAGATTCCAGGGCTTAATAACGTACCCGCATTTGTTGCGTACCTGCATTTGAACTCGATGGAAATCTGGATGTGTACTTTGAAAAAATGGTTTGTCTCATGGGGGAAGCCCCTAACTAATGGTGAAGAAGAACGAACACTCCAAGACGCAAGAGTATCGAGTAGTTCTTTTGGAAAGTAAGTTAAGGACCAGAACATGGCTAACGCCATAAGACAACTTTGAAGATCTTTCTTCCGCCAACAGCGGCACAAACCAAGAAAGCCTTACACGGACAGGGCCGGCGGTTGTCTCCATACAGACCGTCTTTGGGTTTTTTTTGGATTCGCCAAAGCCCAACAAGGGGGTGTGCTTAGGGAAAAGGACGCATAACTCCAGGCTTTTGTGGTTGACTTTAGGGCTCGTCCCCCTTCTCGGCCTCCCAACAAAAACAACAAATAGTCACATATTCATGTGCGAGAGTCACAGTCATTTCCCTCTTGAACATCACCAGAGAACACAAAAACACGACAAAATCACGTTTGCACGGAGAATGGCGGACCAACTACATGGTCAGTTTTTTGGACCGCAAACATCAAAACTGCAAACACAATACCACAATTCCGCTGCCTACGTGAAATGAAGAGCTCCCAATGTAGAGAAGCTGCGTCGCGTGTTGTCTAACACCCCCCCCCTCCCCCCTCCTCCCCCCGGCCCGCTGGACCACCCCCCCCCCTCAGGGACTCGCTCTGCTTCGCTCCGAGGGGCTCTTCTGCGCCCAGGTGTGGATCTGCTTCAGCTTCGGTGGGTCCAGGCCCAAGGAGCCCAAAAGGTTCCTTGGGATGGGGAGGGGTGGGGGGGTGGTGGGGATGGGGGGGTGGTGGGGGCGTGGGGGGTGGAGGTTGCAGCTCCGTGAGCCCCATAAAAACCAAGCCCGCGCATGCACGAAACCACCCAACTCATTTTGAAAGGGGCGAATCAAACGGGACATTCGGGTATGTCTCAGGAAGCCCAAAGCAAAAACACAAAGACTGGCAAAAACAGATTCAATTTGTTTGAAACCCAAAAACAAGACAGAAACTACACCTCACCGGGATGGCGTGGGGGTGGGTTTTGTCCCATTCCTCTTCGCCAAGGCACAGCTGGGAGCTGAGCGCCAAGTTCGAAGCGCGCTCTACCAGGCTGAACTTATCCTACAGCAAACTGAAAACCTCAATGGCACCGTCTTCTGTTCACGCACTTATCTCCGAGCAAGTGGATTGGCCAGAAAAAGTCCAGGACCTTGCTGGTTTAGTGGTCCAGACCAGTACAAGTGAATCGAGGTTCCAAGAACTCAGGAAGTGAGAGTAAGAATGGTCAATGGTAAATCCTTGGTTGGTTTGCGACTCGTACATGTCCTTCCCTGACCTCAAGCAAAGGGGTCTGTTGTTTTTGAGTCTGCCCCATTTTTTGTGGTGCTTAAGCAGTCCCAAAAGAACGCCACCACTTTGAGGGGTCCCCAAAGAAGACACGGCCAGATGGGTCAGGAAAGCTAGGTGGACAACCGGCGTGTTTTGGAGGTTCCCTCAAGAGAGGCACACCCAAAAGATAGGCGGTGAAGGAATTTTGGAGAATCGCCCGTTTTTCTTGGAACCTGTCTCCAAGGGTGTTACTCGAAAAAAAGAAAGAAAGAGTAATTGACTCCTTCCAAGCGGCGGGTTTCCCTTTAACCTCCCTTTCAAATAATCCAAGCAGGGCGGGCTTCCCCTGCAGGTGGATGTCGTCCGTCACACGTAGACAATACTCGTCAAAGAGAAATACCCACCAAAAAGTTGGCAAGCAACTGTTCCCATCTAAACACGTTCAAACCACCGCTTCTCCTCATAGGTGTGGTGCACGTTCACCGGCAGCTGCGGGCTCTTTTCGGCCTCCAGGAGCAACTTCACCCGCTCCATGGCCTTCCTTTGGTCAAAGCAAAACCACAGGAGACATGGGTGGCACACCCCGCTGATTTCTTTTTTTGCTTATGCGTGTCTACAGGAAGGATTCTCTCTTGTTGTTTGTTGCTTACAAAGAGAGTTGCTTACAAAGGGACATGTTTATAGGGAGGTCAACCTCACCCGTTTTGCATGCCACATCGTCCTAAGTTGCAAGTGGAGGGCCTGTGTTTCTTGAGGCGCCGAATCTGCAATTGGTAAACAGTTTCCCCCTGTGCAACCACATTGCCCGAAAGAAGAGCCGTCGAAACATGCGTAATTTTAGCCCCCCATCAAATTGCACGCCTTCTTTCGCCAATTTGCAAGTTGTTTTCATTTTTAAGGCACCATATCTGCATTTTGGTGTGCTAAATACGCCCTACTTGTGGGCAGTAGCTCCTGCCACATGGGCCGAATCAAGGGCCCAGGTCCAGTTTGCACTTTTGAGACAATATTTGCATTTTCAGGCCGAGAAAGTGCGTTGCGAGAATGTGGTTAGGCACGCGGTGAAGGGGATAACGTTGAAGAGGATGTCATGAAATGACATAAGCCAGGTCCGACCACGACGCGCTTAAGGGTGTGCCGCAATAAAACTTAGCTCGACAACTCGATATGCGTGGCCGGGATCCTCGATATGGGGTAATTGCTGCTTGGACCGATAGACCCGCCACGCACGCGGCGCCATGGTAATCCAATCACAGCGCGCCGCCAAGTCAGATAACGCGCTTGTGAGGGCGAGGCTTGACGAGAAAAACATTGACGGCGCCCGCCTTTCTTGGCGGCACGTTGATCGGCATTGTTTTGCCGCCTGCGCTCGCGGTAGTTGGCGAGCTCTTCCGACGCCTGCGCGTGCCTTTCGCGCGCGGCTAGGAAAGCGAAGGAGCGCCGGTTTAGCTCCTGCCTTCGGCTCTTTGCAGCCTGTCCGTCGCAGAACTCGAGGCGTCCCGCCACTGTTTGTCCGGATTTCCGGGCCCTGCCACGCATCAGCGGAAAGACTCCTCAGCTGGGAGCCGATCCAGGAGGCCGGAAATGGTATGCAGCTGCATCAAGTTCTGGTTGTAGATCGTGTGCAGCAGGTCCAGCGTCGGAGAGCCCCGAACTGAGCACATCAGCTGGCTGAGCGGCAATCTCCTTGCCATCCTGCTTGTCCTGTTGGTCAGTCTTCCTGCTCTTGTCCTGCAGGCTGCTGAGCCCCGCACACAAAAACGACGCAAGGAAGCGCAGGCTGTCAGGGTGCGTCAAAGGTCGTCACATAGATTGGTAGCTTTCTTGCTAGCCTTTCTTAAACGAGCGTAAAAACCTAGTCAGAAAACCCGCGCTCCGCCTGAAGCCGATTGCCCCGAAACCATGTTGGGCACACTTGCCTCCATCGTCGAGGCAATCATTCCTGTCAAATAGGCCAAATCAAGGGTCCCATGGACAATTTGCATTTTTGAGGCATCCCAAAATGCCTTGGGAAAAACCGATTGCTCCCGAGACCAGTTGCAGGCAGTCATTCCTGCCAAGTGGCCAATTTGCATTTTTGAGGCACCAAGCATGCATTTGTGTAAGCTGATTTCCCCCCAAGACCACTTGTGGGCAGTCATTCCTGCCAAATCGGCGGAATGAAGGGTCCCAAGCCATTTAATTTGTCTTTTTGAGGCACCACTTTTAAACCTCCTCCGATTAAACATGCCCAATTTTCCCAGCCGACTGTCAGTCAATATTACGTTGAAGCAAGGTTCGGCCAAAAGCCTCATATCACTAATTTATTGGCACTTCCAGAGCCCCCTGTGACTCAAGACGTCCCTCTCCGGTCCAAGAATCCAAACATGCCAAAGCTATTTGCCAATACTTTTGCCAATGCTAACTCATGTCATAATCCCAAGAGTTGCCATTCCAGAAGTCAAAAATGGCTAGACGGAAGCTGCAAATTTCCGACTACTACAAGGAAAACAAAAAGGTCTGAGAAGCTTGCAAGGTGTACTCCCCCTTCAAGGCTAGCCCCCGCCCCCAATTCCTCAAAAGCCCTCTGATTAATCTTGGCCCTCTCCAGCCGTGGCTGCAATTCCTATTTTATTGCACTTTCCGTGATTAATCTTGGCCCTCTCCAGCCCTGGATCCTCTCCAGCCCTGGAAATTAACAAATTGCAACTTCCGTGATTTTTCTTATTGCAGTCCTATTGGCCAGACAGGATCCAGACAGGACAAGAGTGGAGAGGACTGGCCCGGTCCGGATTAACCCCACCAGTGCACCCAAACAATTTATAGAGTGCTACCCAGGCAACTTACGACTTGCACTTGTGCCTGAATGCTGAGATTTCAATGTCCAAATCGGCCCAAACAGCATACAAAAGCTGTGTTTCCAGTTTTCGAAAACATAAATAGTAATAGTTGGTTCTGTCTTAACATAGAGGACCCCAAGATTGGTTGCCGCCGAAAGCAGCCAACATCGAGACCCAAACATGTATCCAGTTAAACCTTCTAGAGCTAACATCCCAAGCCTCAGCTTGTGTTCCAACTTGTGTGGCCGACCATACGGAGCTCTTGCAGGGGATCGATTCGCTCTCAAGGCCATCCCAAAATAGATTGATAATCCAAGGAGTTGGAAGCCCAGCACTGCGGGAGTGAAGGGAACTGTCAAGAGAGTTGTGGCACGCATGCCAAAACACGGAAGACTTCAAACTAAAGAAGGTCCCGAAAACATATGAGCATAGAACTGTGCTCCGATCCTTCCCGATGGCCGCTTGTAAGTTGCCTGTGGCTGCGTGTTGCGGCTGTATGTTGTACTAGAAACTGTTCAAAAGAAGCAATGGGGTGAAAACAAGGGGCCAAACAAGCAGACTAAGTATGCTCCTATGAGCATGGCTTGATGTGGCTTTGAAACACACCACAAGCCCATTCCCATTCTAAAACATTGGGCTCTTATTAGTCGCAGCAACCTTATTCAGAACCACATGCCCTTGCCACTGTCGAAAAAAGTCTATGCCTGGCTGGCAAAAACTCAAATTCTGAGCTAAACACTGCCTGAAGCAACTGGGGAACCGGATGCGACATGCCCAAACCTTGGGCAGCCAACTCAAGCTTTGGATGCTAAACTTCCAACAAGTAAGTGACTCAGCGGGTTCATTTCTCTGCACCATTCTACTAAATTCTAAAGACCATGAGGAAAAATGGGCCTGGCGCACAATGCAAGGTCTAGGGTTACGCAGGACTTAGTTCCATTTTGGGTACCAAGCTTTGAGCCACCACCGAATATCTAAACAAAGCAACACTAGCTTGGATACCCCGATCCAGGTGTCCCAATCCAAAGCTTGCCATACCCAAGGCGAGGGTCCCCACTGTTTCCAGTACGAATCCAGAGCCCACTGATGCGGTCGATAGAAAAAGACGTGGTTTCCCTCACGTCCTGAGTGGATCTTCCCCAAAAATGGCTTTCGTCTAGGAAGTGAGTTCCTTTTGTGTGGTTCATCGCCAGGACAAATACCAGAAGAACAGGGACTGAACAAGGACCTGGCCATAAGTTGACTTGGTTGACGTTAAAAGGGGAGAACAAATTTAAATTTTTGCAGTTAAGTGGGGATTTCCCACTAAACCACAAGAAGCAAAAATGTAAAATGTTTCCCAACAACAACCATGTTGAAACCTGGTAAACCAAACGTGACTTTGTTTTTCTCCGAGAGGCTGCAGCTTGCCCTCGAAATTAGCCATGTTCACAGCGATCATGGCGAGACTGAGACCGGTTGCTGTACACCCGTCAGTGCTCGAGCCAAGGTTTCCTGCGACGGGCCCCTTAGCGCTTTTTTTGAGGGCCCGGAAACGGCAGCACCTGGTTAGAAGGGCCCTGCAACAGTAGGGGCTGTCCTTTTTGAGGGGACCCTTTTTGGTGGTGTTAAAAGAGAATCAAAAGGAAAAACACAACTCTTTTTTTTGGGGGGGTTTTGGGGGGGGGGGCGGGGTCCAACCTAAAAACAAACACACCCATGATGCGGGCCCCTGGTTTGGAGACGATGACGAAAGCCCTTGCAAGGTTGTGTTTTGAGGGTCCCGTTTCCAGCTTGGTGCAAAGGGGCCAAAGGGAAAGCCGCAATTTGTTGGGGGTCCGTATGTAGCAACTTCGGGGCTTGGCAATGACAGGAACAATTTCCCCTGCCGGCGGAAGAGAAACAAACAGAGAGCCGATCTGCCTAAAACATCCGTCCCTCCAAGATCGGGCACCGTGGCCGTGGGACAGCTGTGCAGTTGTGATTCCGCCGGAATCGAGGGAGTGAGGTATTTGCACAACATGCCATGCAGCTGAAAGGAATGATGCCTGACTAGCTGAAGGGTAAGCAGCTCTCTCAAGTGGTACACAAGTTCCGCCCACACAAATGTTGCAAGTTTATTGACCAGAAACGCTAGCCCTTTCCACCGGACGAGCAGGACACATGAGCCCAACAGAAAGGCCAAGAGACGATGACACGTCAACCACTGAAACAACTTACCAACCGCAATAAAGCGACGAGCGAAAGACAAACCAGAAAGCATATCAAGTCCAACTACCAAATACGAGCAACGCAAGCGAGGAATCACGTAAGTAAGCCAGAAAGCCAACCAGCCAGCCAGCCAGCCAGCCAGCCAGCCAGCCAGCCAGCCAGCAAGCAAGCAAGCAAGCAAGCAAGCAAGCAAGCAAGCATCATGCGCGAACAAACGTGATGCGTCCACCACCTCGAGCACAACAACCGATATCAACCCCATCCACAAATAAGGACACTTCCTCATGGATGAACTAGATAAAACTGTTGCTCCCGGTTTATGGCACAATGATGAAACCGAAGGCACACATCGGCTTGCGGATCTGTTGAACTTGGAGTATCTGATTTTATATTCGCCAGAAGTGCGAGAATTTGTCACATCGAATTCGCCTGGCCCCAAAATAGCAGCACAAAGCACAAAACCACCGCACATGCAACACACATGGTAAGCACAAATGACACAGGGGCACGGAAAAACACGCACACAGACACACAACCAACCAACAGAAATGCCACAAAAAACCTCGGGAGAAAAAAAAGCAGGACAAACGGAACACCCCCCTGCCAGGCAATCCCCAATCTCTCTGTGCCCCATCTTTGAGTTCCAGACGCAGACCCCAGGCCTAAGCCACCGCCCAGGTTTGGGGCATGGTACCTCGGCGCCGTGATTGCCTCACTTCCGAGTTGTTGTTTTCGGCTTGAGCCATGAAGTTGCCTTTTCCGTTTGGCTCGTGGTTGCGGATCCTTTGTTTTG